AATTTAGAGAGTATGAAATTTGAGAGAGAGAGAGTTGTGTATGGAGTTTAGAGAGAGAAGGAGGAAAGGTGAAGCTGCTCCGCTGGTATGGGTTGGATGATAAAGGAAGAAATAAGGGAAAGAATATTGAACTTTTTGTGCAATATTTGCAGCTCTGGATTGGAAAAGGAAGAAAGAAGCACAAGAATATTGAGCTTTTTGTGTAATATTTTTTTCTATTTGGTACAATTTGCACGAAAGTGGGTTTCCCGTGATATGTTCTGTTTGTTAAGTAAACTCCAAGTCCAAGGGCTGTTTGTGTCTTTTTATTTATCTAACAAATGATATTATTTACATTAACATTATCAGAGAGCAGTTAAATTTCACAATAAACTAATAATAATTTTGTTTAAATTATTTTTTAATGAGAATCGAACATCAAATTTTTACTAACAAGCGAAAAATAATATTACTAAAGAGTAGTACTAAGTGACAAAAAGTTTTATGTCTTAAACTTATCATTTTTCTTGTGTATTTTATTCTTCCTTGATTGTGTGTCCTTGGGACATCAGGTCATGGGTTTTCTTCCGTTTTCTTATTATTTTAGTTGCAAGTGCAAGCGTGATTAGCTGATGTAGTTGATTACTTGTGGTCATTGTATCCATAAAGTCATCGTGGTATCTTGTGGACAACGTTATATTGGAGTGATAAAAATTAATTATATTTATGCATTCTGATGTTGTTTTTATCCCACCGATTTACTTTAATTTTAACAACGAACTATTTAACCTATTAAACTATCATTCTATGGAACATAATACTACAGTACTTATAAATTGTGTTTTTGTTACTGTACTGTTCGTGTGATATAAGATTCGATAAATAAAAAATCCATGTTTATATAAGTTGTTATCAGTATTAATCGAGGAGGAGAAAAAAGGGTGGGGCCTCGTTGTTGCTTTTGTATAGCATCAAATCGAATTTATTCAGCTAATTGATTGGCATTGCTTCTTGTCAATGTATTGCATTAATACAGAAATTAAAATAAAATAAAAGGACATCCCACTAGAAGATGGATTCCATTCGGATTCAAATTATGAAAATTTTAGAAATCTTCGCATCTTAACGGTTTATCATACATCGTATAAGGTCAGAAATAATTTTAAATTTATTTATTTAAAATTAAATATAAATAATATTTAATAAAAATTAATAACACGATATCTGATAAACGATCATAATGTGAGAATCCCAAACACCCCCACAAAAAGGATTGAGGGAATCCTCATCCATGCCACTCGATTTCTTTGTCTCCTTTTACTTTCCACGTGTTCTGTGCGGCGGGAAAGCTGCATGTCATAATTGGAATTTGCTAGAGTTACGCCATATAATCAGCTATCCAATTTTATATACTTTCCTTTTTTGTATGACAACATCTCTAATAATAGTACAGGTTGATATATTATTTTTAAGATAAACAATAACGTTAAAAGACTAAATTATTACATGTTATAAAGAAAGATCGACGGTGATCGAATCCGCATCAGGTATATAAGCATTATATTTTTGGCCATTGAGTTGAATCGTAATCTGTCAATTTATATTTTTCCTTAATTACAAACTGTAGTGAACTTGCTGAACGGCCGTGAAGGAAATACTGCGGATGAAGTTTTGTTTACTTTCCTCCCTTCGCTTGAGTTTTTTTGGTCATATGGTCTAGCGCCCTCTATTTCCTTTGTTTTAGATGATGATAGTTATAAACTGTATAGAAATAATATGCCTCCTTTTTTAATCTTCATAACAACATCAAAATGACAATTATATTTGTCATGATACATGAAAAGTGGACAGTTTATTGTGATGCATGACAACTAATCATTATGTTTTATAGCAAATGACGTTTTTGTAATGACTAAAAAGCAATCATGTTTATGTCGTTCATTTAAGATGTTCATATAATTAATGTCACATCTTGGCTCGGGCTCCCATCACATTCCAAACTCGACTCCACCGTAGCACGATATTGTCCGTTTTGGGCTCCAACCACACCCTCACGATTTTGTTTTTGGGAACTCACACGGGAACTTCCTAGTAGGTCATTCATCATGGGATTGCTTTTGCACGAACTCGCTTAACTTTGGAGTTCCGATGGAACCCAAAGCCAGTGAGCTCCTAAAAGACCTCGTGTTAGGTAGAAATGGGAATGTACATATAAGACTACATGATCCACTCTCCTGGACAATATAGGATGTTACAATTAAAACACACTCTACTACTATCCTGGATCGCTGAGTTCCAAGAACATCTTCATCTTGTTGAATCCCTCAACACATGCTGGTAAGAATTCTTGTATTGGTTTCTACATAGTAAATTACAATATTGAATTGGGAGCATTATATGTAATGCACGTAGTACCAACATCGATCCTTACTTATATAGAGTACATAACCCTAATATGATACGCCCATCGTATGCCCATTGTAAATCCTTATGTATCTATACTTCCTTAAATTCACTAAGCCCATTTTGCCCATATTACTCAAATTCACTAAACCTTAGTGGGCACATGATATTCTAACGTAATATCACAAAATCCCAATTGGATTTCCAAGCAATCCATAAGTGACTAGGAGAAATATAATGTTTTGGATACTGAAAAAGTTCCAATCGAGCTTGCGTCAGAGTACTTGAGCATTGGTATGTATCAAGTACTTGTACACCATCAAAGTTGCTCATTCCGTGAAGGAATATCTTACGGACAGTATCACAATCCAACTTCTCCTTTCAATCAGCAATTTTGAACCCAAACGTTCAATCAATTCATTGACAACTCTCATATTTTGAAATTTGCTAATACCACAGTAAACCTCAAATTTTTACCAAAAAAGTTAAATAACAATTTGATAACAATTCTAAAGATTTCAAATAAAACAAAACCAATTGTACACATACTGGCATGGTGACTTGTAAATATGACTAGCAGAAAGGCATTAGAATTTAAGATTATAGCACTTGGTAAAATTAGAGGGCAAACATTGGAGCAACGAAAATGTTACTCTTTTGTGATAAAAAAATCATTGCTCGAAGTCATGGAAATAGTTTCTTTATAAAGTAAATGTAAAACTATCTACAATAGACGTTCCTCCTTTCTCTAACCCTCACAAAACGAAACACATTTTTGAGTTGGGGTCGCCCCTTAGCACTTGGTGAAATTCCATAGTTAGAAATAGCCTTGGCTAAATCAAACGCTATAATAACCAAAACAGAGAAAAGGGTCAAAAGAATCTATAAAATCACAAGTCAGCAGACTTCTTAAATGGATTGTTAAGGTCAAGTCATATTTTTTAGAAGAGCATGCAGTGTTGCCTCAAGGACTTACCTCTGGCCCTCGGGGTCTGTGGGTTCAATGCACGAACTTCTTTAAGGAAATGATCCCATACGAACTTTGGAATGGTGAAAAATCTAATTTGGGTAATTTGCGTTTATGGGGTTGTTCTGGTTTTGTTCATATCCATCACATAAGTTTAGAAAGTTAGATCCTAGAGCGAATAAATATATCTTTATAAGATATTGTAAAAACTTGAAGGGTTATGTGATGTATGGTGAATATCTAGATTGAGGGAAAATCGAGATCGAGTCATGTGATGTGGAATTCATAGAGAATGACTTCCTAAAACTTGGTGATACGGTCAAGAAACTTGTTCCCCATAAGTTGGAGAAAGATAAACTCACAACATCTTCAAGCGAATGAAGGGAGTTAATTTCTAATCCGATGGTTGCTAAAGATGATGTAGGAGGACTTCATCCTAGTGGGAGTGTACCATTAGACACTTAAGAGAATACGCCCACCTATGGGAGTGTGCCCTCTAAAACTCAAGGTCATAGAGGGAAGCCTACATTTTCATACTTTTAGAGTAAGACGAACCTTCTTCTTACAAAGAAGTTCTGTCTAGGGATGGCCTCCCTTGTCCCCCATCTATATAATCCTCATGTGGGGTGGGAATAGCCCCTCCATCTTGGGTGTAGGTAGACTTTTTGGTAGCCTTTTTGGCTAAATAGCTAGTTCTTACTTACTGAACATGTATGTTCCTGCTCTATGTAAGAGTTGTGCTTATCTTCTCATTTTTAAGGAGTCTTTCTGTATTATCTTCTCCGTGTTGCTTTTTAATGGAATTCCAATTGACCAAAAAAAAAAGTGTTGCTTTCAATTACCAAAGATATATGGATATATACAATAAAGGAAGGGATGAGCACCAGGGATAAGAATATTGTTTGGGAGTTAGTTGACCTTCCGCTTGGGCATAAAGCCGTTGGAAACAAGTGGGTTTTAAAAATCAAACGCAAGGAGAATGATGTCCTTATAAACTCGTCGGGTGCATGGATCTTTAGTTTTTATGCTAACCTTGATCGAAGTGAGATTCTATGTGCTAAAGTTTGGGGGTGCTTTTATTAGGATGCAATTTGTGTAGAACAATAGAATTAGAAAAATTACGATGGAATAAAATTCTACGCTTGCAATACAACTGATTTTAAATGCAAAAGTGCATCTTCAAGAAGTTGGGTAATGAATACCATGCTCTTATGCATCAAAATTGAACTTATAAAATTCGTTATATTTACTGTGAAAAGAATTCGGTTGCTATTACAGATATAACTGAAGTCCTATGAGCTATGACCTCGTGATGCTTTATTGTGACTTGGAAGTTTCTACGGTAGGTGCATGTATGCCATACATTATTCATTCAACGGTCAGATGCGAAGAGAGAATAATATCTGACCGTTGGATGGGGAAGCCAGTCTCCAGTGGCTGAATTACCAAACAGAGCCGCTCGCATTTTTGCATTCCCAAATCGAAAGAGAAGCTCTAAAACCCAATAGCTGCTGGCTGGGTAAGGCTCTGTAAACCCCTTTTGCTCTGGAGGACGAAACCATGGCGATGCAGAGATTATTCTCCAAGCTTCGCTCTTTCTCTGTGCACTCAGCCCAAACTCTCCCATCATCTCTCTCTTCTCCTTCATTGCTTCGGTCTTGCCTTCCGCTGCTTCACCAGCCTCTCCCTTTCGCATCAATTGATAACAGATGGATAGTCAGGTCCCTTTTCAGTGCCCATTCACCGACCCAACCTTCACTGGCTGTCACTGCTCTTCGCTCCTCGCCATTCCCTTTCTCGGTAAGTTGGGTTTTTTTTTTCAATGGGTGGTCTTGCCTGTTTTGTTACTGAGAAGATGCCTGAGAAAGATATATTCGTGTTCTTGAATCATTAGGAAATGAAGAAAATTTTGCAGCAAATACCGGACTTAGTTGGGGGTTTTATTTGATTTTGGTCTGTTTTGTAATCGATCAAGGGGCAATGTGAATTGGGGGTTTAGATATGGTATTGTTATGTGCATTGATGTGCAATTATATACTAGTGTTTTGAAGAGAAGTAGTGTGGTGTTTGTGCATGTTAAGATGGTTCAAGTGCGGCATGTTTCGTCAAGGGAGCGTAAGAAGAGGAGAAAGCCGATGACTCCAGTCACATCCAAGTTAAAGAAAACCAAATTGAAGTCTTACTCGTAGGTTTATGTTTTCTCCAACATCATATTATGTAATTTGTTTTCTCATTTTGGAAATGTAATTACAGTTTTGGGTAATAAGTGGTTTTGAAATTTCATGATCAGGTCGTACAAGTCCCGGTTTAGGACAATGAATGATGGGACTATTCGGCGGTGGAGGGCGGGCAAGCGGCACAATGCCCATTCGAAGGTGTGCTTTGCATTTTGATTATTCAAAGCTTGGGTTTCGTATGTACCATTGGTCAATTCTCATCTAGCAAGTAGTAAATTTCAGTGATGTTTCAAAGTCTAATGAATGAATGCTTTACTACATGCGGGATGGTTAATTTTGGTACACATACAGTACACACAACTACACAAGAAAATTTCATTGGTGATATTTTCTTTTTGGGGCCAAACTTCTTGTCTAATTTAAATTAACTTTTAATTCTCTGGAAATAGTTTGGTGATGCATGTATTGGTGCAACTTGTACGGGCTCTGCCTGAACTCCATGAAGCCAATCCAAACTTTCTGCCCATATGGACAAGTTAAAAAAAAGCTCAGGTTGAGTTTGAGTTGAGAAAATACGAACCTGATAAATTTTGAGTTGAACACAAAATTAACCACCCAACTTCTAACCTTGAATTCCAATTGCTGTGTTAACACGAATTACTGATAAACTATACATAGCCTTTTGAACAGTATCTTAGCTAATGAAGGGCTGTATTGTTGTCGTTCCTTCAATTTAAATAGTAACAAAAACACCTTCATTTTCGAGGAGGGAGATTTGAATGGATAGTGAATCAGTGATAAACTTTTTGTGAGAAGGGACGACGGAAGGAAAGAAGGATCACTTAATAATGGAATGAGTTGGCTTGAGTTTAGGAAAAAGGAGCTTTAAGGGTATGAAACATTGTAAGGAAGTGAAGTTTTTCTTGGGATGTGGTTGTGGAAGTTCCAGACATAGTCAAATTCCCTTTGGGGGAAGGGCTGCATGAGAATGTCTGGAATCCCAAGATCGCAGCTAGTGGGTCAAGTCGATGCTTGTGAACTAATATTTCTAAATTGATTGTTGGTTGTCATTTTGAGGTGAGGAATGGGGATAGGGTAAGATTTTTGGAAGAGAGTCGGGTATGGGTATCAGATTTACGTGCCCCATATCATTGTCTTTATAGATTGACCCGCTATCTTATTATCCCATTGCTATAAGTCTTCTTTATCTCTTTGTCTGCATTTTTGGCTTCCATGTAATTTCAGTGAGAAGGAAGTGAAAGATTTCCTGTCTTTGCTGTCAGATCTAGAATCTGTCTTGCTTGTCTCAAGTGGAGCCAATTCGCAAACCTAGCACCAGTTTCTCTCCATCATTCGGGGTCCTTGTGTCCTTTTCATCTAAACCACCCAAATCACAGCCAGTACCAAACAGCCCCACATAACTTTGAGCTTCTTATTCATCCACACCATTTTATGGTCGTAGAGAAAGGAAAAAGTGAACACTTGCGATGATGTAACTTATTCATCTCCCTGAACAGCTAATTTTGTGTAACCATAGGTAGATTTACTCATATCCGATTTACTATGAATAAATTGATACTAGCAAATTGCATGGCCTAGATTTTTATTCATTTTTTTAAATGGCATACATATTAGAAATTGTGGCCCAGTGTCATGGCACCTTTTGCACATGGTTAGAGCATTCCAGAGACTAATTCTTGGGCTTCAATAGAGGATAATTTTATTATAGTGAGGTTACGTCTGCTATATTAGTGAGTAATGAGTATGTAATTTCATATCTTGGTTTTACAGCTATTTGTATCTTTCTTCTCATTGGCATGTATTTCAATCATTTAATGCTCCATTGCCCTCTTGTGTGTCTTTTATGGACAAGGCTGTTTAGGGAGACCATTTTGAATTGGGCAATATTTGAATCTTGTGTTGAATTACTTTGTGAGAAGCCCAAGTCTTGGAGGAAAGAAAAGGGGCATGATGTTGGATATGTGGTGTTCTGAAAATATTTTGAGTTGTTTGGATGTAGAGAATTCGGAGATTGTTCAAGGTGCTAACGGGGAGGATGAGTTTATTTCTGCTCATCCTTTCAGTTCTTAGGGTGCTTTTGTTAATTAGTTTTGTTTGCATTGGGGTGCTGATGTTAATTAATTTTGTCTACATTTCAGTTGCTTACTAATTGGGCTAGTGATTAGATCACGTTCTGGATAGTGTGTGCCTTGATTTTATGCACTTATTGAACCTGGTGAGGTAGTATTTTCTTCATGTTAGGTAATCCTTTGTTGAAACTTGGATAAGATAACTGTGTCTTGTTAGTGCTTCGGCTGTTATTCTTTCTTTGAGGCTAATGCACTATTGAAAGGACTGGTTTAGCTTTTTCATCATGTCAAATAATAGTCTGCTGCAAATTTTAAGTATAAAGGTTTTACCTGTCTCCTGCCTTTCCACTTTAGGTTGTCTTCTTATAATACGCTAGATATCTTGCCAAATATCTTTAATTGTTAATTTTATCTGCAATTACAATCATAGACATTTACAATTATAAGCTCCTTTTTAAAGTTTTAGGTATTAAACTTGCATATTATGCTGATAGAATGTAAAAAATACAAAATAGGGTTATTTATCGCAATGCCTCTCGAAATATCACTCGTGTCTCACTTTGCCCCTCAAAGTTTAATTGCGTGTGAAGTTACCTCAATCTTTCTTTACTTTTCCATCTCCATTGCTGACGTGGCAGTATGGCACCATGTGACAATAATGGTGATTTCCTCCTTATAAACGTTTTGCTTTTGTTGAGACCACATAGTGATGTAGGGCAGACTAGTGAGCATCTGTAATCAGAAAATAAACAAAGAAGAACCAATTGCCGTCTCTCCCCTTATTGGTCTATTATGTGTAAGATGAATGAAGAGAATGTTGATCATCTATTTGGTTGCTGGCCAGTAGCTCTAATTTGTGACATTCATTCTTCAAGGAGGCAGGGGTGAGTTGTGTAATCCCAGAAGGGTGCGACAAGTTTCTTAGTGAAAGATACTGGGTTCGGCAAAGGAAAAAAGGCTAGGCTTTTGTAGAATGGTTCTTATATGGATGATCTGGATGGAGAGGAATAGGAGGATATTTAATGGTAAATAAGTGGGTGGGGTAGAAGAGCTTTGGGAAAGGGTGAGGTTTTGGTCTTCGCTTTAGGCTTTGGTATTCACTTTCGTCACTCTTACTTTCATAGCTTTTATTTATGTGGCTGTTGTAGGTCTTGTTAATTTCTGTATGCTATGTTAAGACAAGGGACTTTCAATGTCCCGAAGAACTTCAGGCTTTGTTCTTAAAGATGCACTACAAGAAGTGAAATACTCTACACTACAAATGCACTACAAAGACTCTAAACAAATGATTTCAAAATGACACCTCTTCTTAAATGTATTGCATCTAGTCATTTTCAAATTCCTTCCACATAATTTTTTTAGCACATTCCTAGCTACTTTAGCCTAGGTTCCATGGAACTTCAAAGTCCCTCATCCAAACACACCCTTACTGTATCTGGATTCGATGGATTTCTTGTTCACTGGTTGCAATTTTTGTTTTTAATTATTTTCCAAAGGAAGAAAAAAAAAAGTTGTATAGAAGATGACGGCATTAGAGTCAAGGAAAATAGCATGAAAAGAGCAATCACTAAACTCAGGAAACTGAAGCAAACTCTTGTGAAAAGTTCCACCAATAAAAATCCTTCTATTGCTTTCCAGCCAAACCACCACAACAATTTGTGAAACAGCATGCCACTAGCACCAAACCCCTTTCCTCCCTTCAAAAAACTTTTAACTTTTCACATAAGTGGCTGGAATTGACAAACTTGCTTTTTTCTAGTGAACATTATCCACGAAATATGCAACTGGACAATGAAACATTAAAATGGTTCAAAATTCTGTGTTACTTCTACACTAGGTTAATACCTGTAAGTTGGAGATGCAATAACGCAAGCGAATACCTTTACCTTAGGTTGCACTTTAGCCTCCCGAATTGCTGGAGAGGGACCAAAGGGACAAGGACAAGAATCATCCAATAATCGCCTTGAGAAGGATTTGGAATAAAAAACTCGCGATGGCTTCAACTTGCAATATAGGTGGTCAATCATCTTGGTTTCTCATTTCATATGTCCATATAGATACATGCACTATTTGTGAGCACATGTGTGTTTTTATGTGTTGGGTGTGTCCCAAAACATTAGATAGGTGTTGTCATATTGCTTATTCACAGTTCAGGTTCCTGCAAAGTTTTCGACAGATAATGAAAAGAGAGTTGTTTGAATGACTGCTTCAGTTACATTATATACTCTACTGAAACCTAAGTCATGACATCACATGCGGAACAAGTGAATTCTTTTTTTCACTATTTTTGTTCCTTAGAGTGGTACTCAGCAAGTTTGAAGTTCAATTACCTACTGAAAATTCCCTTTCAACCAGTTTTCATTTGCCGACCAGCACCCTTAGTTTATATCTATCTATAAGTATCCCGCATATGACCTTTACAAGCCCTTAAAAATGGAACCTTTCCTCTCCCTAGCCGTTTCCGGTTAAGAAGATGTGAAAGCGCCTCTCTCTATATAAGATCGTACAGCAACACTATTTGCACAGCTTTGTACAGCAAAAGGACACTCTTATCCTGAGTTGTGATTTCTAAATGAAATTGATAAAAAGTTGTTACATTAGCTGGTATCTCGTAGCCTGCGATGTTTCTAAAATGACGGATTTATGAGCACTGAAGGGTACAAGATTTTTAAAGATTCGAGTAAAATAATGTCTTGTAAGCAAAAGATTGGCCCCCATTAGTTTGAGAAAGTATAGAAAAAGGAGTTATCTTGGTGTGTCGATTGTTGATTATATACTAGTTATTTCTTTAATTTTGTGGGGCATTCTTCTTTGTATATGTTTGTTTCTGGTGAAACAAATCCAGATGAATTGGCATTGGCGTCATTAGGATCACAGTTCTCTTTCTTTTCCCCCTATCTTATTTGTGGATTATGTTTATTTTGGTCATCAATATGTCGATTAGCTCCTCTGTCTGGGAAGCAACATGAACATGTATGCATGCTTGTCCATTGCCCTATTAGTGCAGCTAAATATCTTATTGGTGCCTTAACCTGCTCGACCAGACTTCAAATCCATTTATTGCAAATGTACCTTTTTTTCTCTCATTATAATGGTGCATTCATGATTTTTTATAATTTTTTTGGTCTGAGGTGCATTCATGATTTACGAATGGTTTTTAGTAGACTAGAAGTCTAGATGTACCAATTTGTTCCTGAAATTAATGAAATTTTATATCTTATGCAGTCGAAGATATCTAAGCGTAGACTCAGAGTGCCTGCCCTTGTCCATCCTGCTTATGCTACAGTGATGAAGAAGCTCAATTTTTGCGGTTAAAAGTTTGAGTCCTCTGGTAGGTGCTGCCAGTCTCTTTCTATAGTTTCTGTTTCCGGTTCCTTTGAACAAGCAGTGCTCAGTAGCTAGATGGTTATTTGAGGCTATACCTGTTAGCTGATGAGAACAATCTGCTATAATTGTCTTTTTAAACTTGTATTCCGTGGACAACTGCTTGGTGAGGAATTTTTTACGAGCGTTTTTGCAATACTGGAATGTATCAGAGAGAAATAACAATTTTTTCGATGCGACTCAAGCTTCAAGTATTGGTATAGATTATCCGTTTTGAAGCGTTTGGACAATAATTTTCCTTTCATTTGTTATCTCTTGCAACACTTGTACTAGAAAATTGCAGCATTTGTGTTTTGTGACCTTGTGCAGCACTTTGTAGTCGACGCTTTTCCCAGACTTAAATTTATCATTGAAATGGAGTTGGTCGGTCGCAAACAGAATGCTGAAAGTACGACATGAATGAAAATTGAAAGAAAATGAATTCCGCACACTTTTTTATATACTGCACACTTAAATGGCACGCAAAAGTTGAAAATGGTGTAGAAAAACAATATATGACGAGGTACTTCATTATTTTCTTGTAACTACGTCTGGTGCTGCCAATTTAGTGTACAGCTGCCGGTCCGCTAACAGGCGAGCCTCCTCGCTTGCTGTCGTGCCTCACATGGCCGGCAGCTTTGGCTCCTCCAGAATCGCTGATATTCCCGGCAGCTTTAAAGGATGAGAAGACGGAGGAGCATAATGAGTCGGCCGCGGCGGCATGGTAGAGCGAGAGCCAAGAGAGACTCCTCTTCAGGCTCGGAATGTTGGATTTTTGGATTGCCAGTGAAGCAGCAGATCATTAGGCCGAGGTGGCGGGTGTGGCAGGCGGTGGCAATGAGGTTGGCACAAACTATGGCGGCAATGTATGGTAGGAAGAACCATATGTTTCTGAAAAAACTGGCTGGAAGGCAGAAGATGGAACCGATGGCGGTGGCGGCTGTGGCGATGAGGGGTTGCTTGTAGCCATGGTCAAGGATGATTGAGGTACTTATTGGTCTCTCTTTCTACGTTCATCTACCCATCTAAAGATCTAAAGGGTGTGGTGAAATTCGCACATTGTCTACGATAGTTAAACGGGTCAAGTATGGTAGCAACCATGCCGTTTACGGCTCTAATTAATATTAAATATTAAAAATATAAAGAGTTTTTGCGCAATTACCACCTGACCTTGTAAGCATGTGCAATATTGCCATTAAAATTTTAATTTTTCCAACTAGACTGTCTTAAAAGTTAGAATCTATCACTTACGTTACTTTTCATCATTTTTGTCATTAAAACATGTCGGGATATTTTCATCAATTCACTTAATGGGGCTGACTAGAATCAAATTGACCACAAAGTAATACTGCCTCAGTCAATATAGCTCCAAATATGGGGTTTGTACATCCCCACTCCGGCAATTCCGTACATAAGAGTATGAAAACTTAATATTTGAATACTACCTTAATCACACACCCACTTGCTGACTTACAAAATTTCTTTTTTGAAATTTTATTGTAAATGAAAGACTAAATTTTTGCATAATTTTCACTTCAATTCTTCAACAACCCTTGTCAAAATCTAATTCGAAATTAACTTTTTCCCTACTCTTCATGACCTTACTCTAACACTGCTAAAAATTCTTTTTGCCTTCGCATAAATTGATTCTAGGGAGCCCTGGAAAGTGAATTAACAAAAATATCCCTCCATGCGAGTCACATGCATGCTTTAACAAAAAAATAGGTAAAAAATAACTTAAGGAATAGATTCCAACCGTTAACAAAGTTCGTGCAAAGTCTCCAAAATACAAATAATTTATTTTGTAAAATATGAGTGGGTATACCACTATGTGTTGTTTGTGCGCCTCCATTGCCTCGTGAAATGTGTCATGCGAGAAAGAGGACATATATTTTTGCCGTGCCCCTCTTCTTTGGAGTCATCGGAAGAACGACATTCCTTCCCACCGTTTCCTTCTTTACGTTTCAATAATTTCCACTTATTTCACCATTTGCCCAAAAATTCCCCAGAAAAAAAAAAAAAAAAAATGTGGGCGCCCCCAAAACCCAACTCCGATTCCAAATCGGAATCGAAATCCAGAAACTCGAAATCCGAATCGGAATCGATGGCATTGTCGGTGTTCGTGGAAAATGTGGCTTGTGAGGAGGAAGCAGTGCCACTGAACTCGCACGACCACGACGACCCACGACTACCGCGCAAGATTCAGCAGCGGCGGCCCGAGTGCGTGAGAAGGTCGCCGAGACTGTCGCCGTTGCCAGCGGCGCAGAAGGAGGAGGTCGTCAAGGATACTTCGGCAAATGCAGCTTCCAGGAAGATCGACGACGCCAAGAGTGCGAGTGTGAGAAGGTCTCCCAGATTTACGTCATCCGTCCTGGAAGAAGCTGAGAGTAGCAAGATTAAGACTCCGTCAGTTCAGGTGCTTGCGTCATTACTCACCGTTTACTATCTTTAATTTTCTTTTAATTCTTAATTATTTAAGTATTATTTAAGTTTTTTTTAATCCTTAAATTTCATATTTTTTACATATTTTAGTTTTTCTCGTTAAAATTAAATTCTGCATGTTTCTTTTTCTTTTTTCTTGAGAAATTGTGTATTAATCAGATGCTTCTCAGCCGTCGGATCATCGAATCTTAAGAATCGTGCGGGTGGTGAGTTTTGACTTTTGTCCAAAAGGGATTAGATGCTTGTTTCAACTTTCATTTATTACACCCCCACGCTTATTGGCGCCACGGACTTTCAACCATTCAGGACCCACTTTAGTTGAAATGGCATTTGTACCCTTTAAAGCTTTTAAAAGTAATTAGAATCAATTTCTTCATGAACGTATTCCACAGATTTTATTTTCATTTTTAGAAAATCCCTATTAGAAACATTAATTTACATCTAAAATAATTCTTTGATTCTTTGAATGTTAAACGAAAATCAAATATTTGTTATTTAAAAAAAAGGAATATTTTTTTTGACAAATTACAAAAGTGTTAAAACAATCAAACAGAAAAATTAAATCAAATCCAGAACAAAAATTTAAAAATATTACAAATAAAAAGAATATATTTTTAGTTCAGATGTTTTATGTATCTATTCTCTTTTTTTTTTGTAAACTTTTTATGTATCTATTCTTTGTTTTGGATTTCAGTCAGTAGTTTTTTTTTTTACTTTTAAGGTAAATAGAAATAGATGGTTTTTTTGTGTCCAATATAGTTTTTTACGTGTGTGTCTCGGGTTCGAAACTCGTCCCCTAAACTATTGTAATAGTTTCGAACTCTTGTCTGTAATTAGTAAAAGTATAAAAAAGTTTTTTTTTTTTTTTTTTTTTTTTTTTTTTTTTTTTTTTTGGGGAAATGAGTAGAATTTAAAAAAAAAATAAAATAAAATAAATGTCACTTTTAGTGATTGACGGCCATGAGTTCCGTTTTTATGAAACATGAGGGTCTGATTGGAGAAGGGCCATGCTAAAGAATCAGAGAATTTGGGAACTATGGAAAGGTAATCAGATCAACTAGCTCCCCCCTTAGTTTATATGATTCCTGACTTTAGGTATTTGATTATGAATTTCAAAGGTGAAACTCACGCTTTTTTAATTTCATGTGTTAGTAAACGCCCGGGAAAGTTAAGAAGTCCAATGATTCCAATACACATTTAAATATTGCGTGATCCTTGAACCGTCAGGGAAATACGATTGGCCTGTTAATGCCAACATAAGTACAACATTGTGGCATTATACTCCAGAATCAAAACGGTCAAATTCATTAAGCATAAACCTTGTTTGAAGTTAGGTCTCCTTGCTATGTATAGCAGCCATAAATTTGGCAAGAGTTGTAACATTTTCATGATGCTCCCTTTCCACATTTTACACAATCTTGATACATGATTTAATACATTGCAAACCTTTTTGAGCACTCCCCAACGCTTATTGTTCAAAATTTTAGTTCCGAAAGAAAAATAGAATAATTTTATGAGCAAGCTAATAATATTTCATGGTAGGCAATTTTGAGGCCTCCCCGTCCCTATGAGAATGTTGTGGTCTGATTGCCATCTCTCTGAAATCTTGACACTTTCGTTTTCCTCATGATAGTTTAACATTTCCCATGAAGCTCTTGTTTGTTTGTTTCATTTTTTGGTGATGGTTCCCAATATGTCATAATTGTATTTGGTATGTCAGTTGTCTTATGTCTCGTTAACCATTTATGTCAGTTTACACATTCTAATTTCAAGAATGGATTATTGGCTTATGCAGCATAAAACGTACAAGGGTGGAAGCATGGGATCAGAGTGAGTCATAAGTTTTCAAACATGTTAGCTGCGGGGCATTCACATTCATCATATGATTCATATGTCAATTTTGTTGACTTCTGCATGTTCGCTTGTTGCAGGGATGATGAACGGAGAGATACAGTATCAAATGTAGTGAACTTAGCAGAGAAGTCTATCAGGAGATCTCCAAGGTTGATGAATCAGTCTGCAGTGGAAAGCTGCTGCCTGAAAGTTTTTTTGCAAGAGAGATCTCTAAGAAAATTTGAATCCCCTGAAAAAGGCTGCCTCAAGGCTCTGTCATTAAATACTTCTAATGTTGAAACATCATCAAGACACACAGAAGTTGAGCATCCATCTCTTTCATGGCACGGAGATAGTGATAAGAGACCTACACCCTTGAGGAGGTCTTCAAGGTTAATGTCATCTCCTGAAAACAATTTTGATGGTGAAAAGTTGGATGAAAAGCAGATAAGAAGATCTCCTAGGTTTTCCCCTTGTTTGGACGCGGCTAAGGAAACTTCCAATCTAAATGGATTGTCTGATTCGAAAGATGGGTTTTGTTCCAAGAAGATAATGATCTCATTTGGAAAATCTGATTCAAAATTTTTTAACGAGACACACTTGAGTCAATCCCGAAGAAGAACCAGATCGATGTTTGAGGCTGAAAGAAGAGAATCAGAATGTGCTTTGATTGAATTGCCCGAGACCAAGAAAAGGAAAACCTTAGATTCATCAAAGAACAAGCAAAACAAACAAGAGAGCATCAAAAGTGCTTCGTTCATTGGAGATCCAATACCTGATGTTGAAGCTCAAGAAAGATGGGGTTGGCGGTATCGAATGAAGGTAATAAATCAACTTAACGATTTATTCATTTGCATGTCGTTCTTCTCCTTTAAGTTCAGACTCTTACTTGAACTTCAATATGCAATCAGAGTCACATTATACATATCAAAGCTTGAAATTGTTGAGGCATAAGGGGAAGCGT